CCCCAAAACCCCAAAACCCCAAAACCCCAAAACCCCTTATTCAAAAGAATATATTGAAAAATAAATGAATAAGGGAACTAGCACTGATTTGTCATCAAAAGTTCTTAAGTCTCAATCTAAAACAATTAAGGCTTCTCCCAAGCAGCCGATCTTTAGTAAGAATTAGACTGTTAGAGGTGTTTTTTCTTTTGGTATATTAATAGTAGTCTGAGTTGTTAAAATATGTCTTTTAAATTCTTTCTAGATTCAAATCTAAAACAATCGAGAGGTAGTTTAGAAGAGGTCGGCAAAATGAAGGTTATTAGAGTAGTTGACAAGACCCAGCACTGACTTAAAATTGACCAGTATAATTCTCGCTAATTCATAGAACAAAGACCAGGTCTAAGCTGATGAATGCGAATTGAAATTTTCATAATAAAAACGAGTACTTTGAAACATCCTCAAAAGGAGTAATTTTATAAGTAATGTACAGGTATCTCTATCTGTTGGAAGCGGTAGAGTTCCGAAAAAGTATAAAAGCACCTAAAATTTATGGGACAAACAATGGAAGAGCATCAGAATATGCCAAAACTAATGATTCAAGGAAAATAGTCTTTAAAGATAACCAAAGCTACTCTTTTACAAAATAATGACACCTGAAAATCAAAGCTTGATTTCCAGCAAAAGATCAGAAAGTTCATACAAGATAAGTATAGGATAAATCCTAACAGACCTGCTGCTATTCCCTACGTTATCAAGAAGACTAAGGAATGTATGAACAGGTCCCAGGAAGTCACGAGGAAGGGTAAATAAATGCTTGGAATGCTTATAGAGAAAGAGAAAGAAATCTACCTAATACCAAGCATTCCTAATACACCTTGAAGCTATTTTCATTTTGTCAATAAAACTCCTATCAATAGGAGAGAAAAGTACTCGAATATTGTAAATCGAAAAATTCTATCAAATTTAGAGAATAAAGGACCCTGAGACACAAAAGAGAGCTGATATTAAAGTCCTAGATAGTACTAAAAGGGTGAATTACACTCCAACTCACACTTCATCAAGTACATGTTTTCACTATTTTAGGGATCAGAAATATGAAGGAGAATGCTTACCTAGTAAATCTCAGTACCAAGCTCAATACTTGTAAGGTTTCGTTCACCCTGTAGATCATAGAGCCAAGAAGTTTTCAGGCCAACTCTCCAAGATGAAAGGTAAGAAGGTCAAGTGACTCTGTAGAGTTCATTAGAACCCATGCGAGAAAATAAGGAGAAACTTAAGAGCATCATGGGTAAAAATTCAATGTGTCTCTACTCCAAGAAGGCAAAGATTGAAGACAAACGACAATTTGAGAAAGGTACCAAGAGAGATTACCTATAGATATTAAAGAGAGAGGTAAAAGCATGATCATGAACAGGATGCATCATCAGTTCTATGAACAAGATGAAGAGAATTTGCAGAACAAATTGAATCTTAACTTCTTTCAGAACGAGTCTATATTAAGAACTGTCAGCAGTGGGTGAGGAATGCCTGCTTATGAGTCAAAAATTAATCAGGATGATTACTTGAGGCCATTATTTGATCGATTAAGCCTTAAAGGTATATTTTTGTTTAAAAGATAGGCAACAGAGGCCTAAAATTTTCTCAAAAACATTTTGAGCAATGTAAATAACTTTCCTGTAATATCTTTAGCAACCAACTCGATTCCATGAATCCCTAAATCGACTAGAAGAAAGATAGAAAACAAGAACTTCGAGAAAATGTTTAACCACAATAGTCTTGGTCGGCCAAATTCAAAGGCAAAATTGTAAGCCAATCTTGTTATCTATAGTTATGGTCCTGATCTTACACTGGAAACAGACCCATATATCGCAGGTATTTTCATATAAATTACAATATAGAGAAGTCCCAGTTTTTATTAGAGATCGTCCCTAAAGGCCAAAGCAAGCAGCTATCAGTGTCACCTTCTCCTTCAATTTCCAGCAATATTGATATAGCCAAGATAATTCAAGGTCAGAGAGGAGTGAAGGAAGGACCTCCAGTAGGCCTCAAGGAGACCAGACTAACCAATTCAAGGAGGTTTTGGAAAAAGAATAATTATTAATCTATTTCAACCCTAAAATCACCTGTTGGGGTTTTGGGGTTTTGGGGTTTTGGGGTTTTGGGG